CAGTATAATCCTCCCTGGTGATGGCCCCTCCCTTTCCCTGGGTGTGCACCTCCCTTTTAGCTAGAAGACATTCCCGGATGCTTTTGGTGAGCCATGGGGGCTTTTGCGCCCTCCTGCTCCCTTTGATCTGTGTATCAGCGTATGGGTATCATACTAGCATGGCTGGATCTGTGCAGAGTACCGTGATGGTAGTCATAGAAAAACATCATTTATGAAGTGATACCATCTCGGCATCAAGCTTTGCATTAAAGCCAAACATTATTATTAAGTAATACTTGACTACAGTGCTGCGGCAATATATAGGAAAAAGATATGTAATGTGGGGAAAAGGCTTTTAAGAGCTAAGAACTGGTATGGAAAGGCAAGGCTCTTCAACTGCCAGAATGAGTCAGCAATACCAGGTGAGTCTGATTAGCTCCAAAACAGAACCGCACACAGGATGTATGTGTATGTGTCCAAGACAAAAAATAAAGAGGGGGAGGTGAGAAAGGAGGTTTTGCAAGGAAAAAACCCATAGATGTAGCCCAATCCGGGTAATCGTTTTTGAGACTAAAGGAAAACATTTACTCTTATGTAGGTAAATGGGATATGGGGATCTAACCCAGGCTGTGTGCACGGAGTTAAGCACAGTGCAAAGGGCTCATAACCATGTATGAAAAACCTTATCACCTCCTACCTCGCTCACAGCTTGTCGTGTCAGTCTTGTATCCTCAGCCTGGGCGATACACTGAGCTTCGTACAAAGCGATCTGCTCCCGCAGCTCATCGACCTTCCTCGTTAAGCGGTCCACATGCAGGTCCTACAAAATCAGAGCAAAGCGGATCAGCTCAAATACTGCAGGCAGACCCAGCACAGACCACATGGTCAGGAGGTTTGGAATCAGCTTCGAGTGAAATAGCTCAGTTGAACTGGGGAGGTATCAAATCAGAACCATCCTCTAGTGCATTTAGTGCCAGGTGCAGGCTCTCATCTCCACCTCTACTGAACAGTGAAGACCCCTTTCTCCTTCGTACCAATCTGCTACGAATTTGTTGTCATTTAATTAATGTTGGTAAGATGCAAATGTAAATGAAAAGTGTCTTGTCTAAATTCTTACCTAACTTCTGCTTGTCTGGGTTACTGTCCTGTGCCCATGGCATTTGAACACCTTAAATTACTAAGTCAGAAAATGAAAGTACCTTCTAAACAGCTACTTTGCATTTGCATTATCCTGCCACTGTTCAGATCCTATCCTACAGTATTTATCCTGCTACAAAAACCAGCAAGCTTGCCAGCAGAGGGAGCTTGAGGCAAATTACACTGCTCAGCTCTAGTTCTGATTTTAAAATCACTTTGCTACACTTGTGGTTCAGAATAACATCTCCATGGTTTGAAAATTAGATGCTATCTCTCTAAATCTCTTTTGTTCAAGTGCATGTGTAGATCCTGACTCGGTATTACAGGGTTGCTCAAAAAGCTGGGCCACAGGGTTAGATTACTTGGTGGCGCACAGTTTTCTGTGGGGGTTTTCCCCCCTCTTAATTTTAGGGGAAAAAATGAGCTCTGAATTAACTGATTTGGAAAAAGTAAATGACCTTGAATAGGTCCCCTTAGCCTTAGCCTCCCCTGCGACAAGACAGCTTCCTGGTGACTCTCAGCCCTGCCAGCTTCACTCACAGCCTCTGCAACACTTGGTGCTTGCTTGATACCTGTTTTTTCTTCTCCACCTCAGCTTGCATCTGCTCCACTTCAGCCTTCTTCACGGCCCGCTTCATCACGGATATGTCATCACGCACATCCTGGCCTGTGTTCTGCATGTAGAACAGGTTCAGGGCCAGGTTTTCCACCTCTGTCTGCAATGCAGAAACTGGGGAGACAGATGGGAAGGTTAATTACAAGGACAATATCGGGAGCACTCACCCATGTCCAAGTTGAAGAGAAAGGAAAGAAAGGTGTGTGCATATGATAAAAGTCAGACGGAGGAGTAAGATACCAGGGAGAAGCACCCAAGAGACCTGATAAGCACCCTTAACTCCCAAGACATTTCCACACCACAGCAATGAGGAAAGACCACCCGGGAGTGCCCTAATCACCTCTCCTGCGCTCGTCCTGGGTGTTCTGACACGCTTTCTTGTACGTAGTCCTGAGGTCCTGCAGCTCATCCTCCAGCTGCCGCCGCACCATGGCTATCTGCGAATGCCTGCTGTGGCTCTTCTCCAGCTCCATCTGCAGGCGGGCTAGCTGTTGCTGGACTCCGTAAAGCACCACTCCCAGCTCCTCCCTCTGCAATTTGCCCTTCTTTGTGGCCTCTTTCTGAAGATACAAAAGAAATGGGATAAGCCACCACAACTCAGAAAGGGCAGAGATGCAACAGGAGGTGCACTGACAGATACTGTACCAGCTCCCGAAGGTCCAGGTTCACTTTTGCCATCTGTTTGGTGAGGTAATTCTTGAGGGCAGCTTGGAACCTTTTCATCAGTGGCTACAAAAGGAAGCAAGATGATGTTGCCATCCGTGAAGCAGATGCATGAACAAGTGATGAAGAAATCTGTATCTTATATTGGCACCTATGGAGAACAGGGTTCTGACTTAGGCTAGGGTACAAGTGTGAGCCTGGTGGATATTTGTTCCTATCATAAAACTTCTCTCTCATTTGGCATCACTAGTAGTTTCTGTTTAAGAGAGGCCCAGAGTCTTTGGACCTCAGAGGTGAGGGATCCCAGCAGAGCTCCCTGACAACAGCTCCCGCAACATTTCTCCACCAGCCAGCATAAGTGCTTCATTTTCATGAGAACTAGAGTGCAGTACGTAACCTACTGCTCTAACCTGCAGCTCTGAGGATGTGAAATATTATTCCTCTTGAAAGCTGGGAGATTTACCACCCATGAGCCTGTTGTCACTGTTGTGTCTGTCCACTCCTAACTTTAGCAAGTGAAGCTAACCTGTGGTAACTTAACCCTGTTTCACCCAGGAGCAAGCTGACCTAGCTTACCCCAGGATAGTACAAGGCAGACAAAACAAGTGCTGCTGTGTCAGCTGAGCTGCTGTAAATCCCCCTCCCCTTTTCAAGCTATGCAATGGGTTTGTTCATCCATGCTCCAAGCTACCACAGAAGGAACAGGTGTTCCAGGGGGGTTAAAACTTTTGTAAAAGCAACATTTAACAAATGTACCCAAGGTGCAGCTAAACTGTAGCCTGGTTTGCCTCTCAGTTTTGTGCAATTTCCAATGCAAATGACAAGGGACACTTCTTACATGTTCTGGGTCCAAGACAATCAGTTGCGTTTCTTCTACTTCCTCGCTGCCCTCAGTTCCAGCTTCCTCATCTGCCACATGTACCTCTTCTTCCCTTTTCTCCTGCCTGCTCCCACGCTCACCAATTTGTGGATGAAACTGCTGGAAGTCAGCTTCCGGGTAGGGAGAGGGGATGGCTACACCTGCGTCAAGGACTGCACTCCAAGGACACAAGGGCAGATGTCACAGAAAGAAAATGCAGTGCGTGTCAGGTATGTTAAGATTCACTGATGTCCCGAGAGCGTGAATGTGTAACAAAGCCTGTGTTCTCTGGTGTTTAGATTGCCTCACAAAGTTAACACCACATAGGACACAGATTATAAAAAAGAAAAAGACACAGTAATCATAATAGGAAGGGGGAAATTATGACGGAAAGGACACAAGGACTAGCTCAGTGGTGGCATCAGGCAGAGGTTAATGAAGTGAGATGTTACAGTATTTTGCTGCAACTGGTTTCACTTGTTGGGAGATGTGAGCAAAACCAGATACACTTGAGACCCAGCTGCAAGGACAGCATATTAGAAAGACACTGACTGATACCTGATTCGACATGAACCTCCACCCCCACAGATGAGGCAGACCACTGAGGACTAGCTAAAGAAGAGGTGTGGGACTGGCTCCCACTGCGTATCACCAGCTGCTCCAGATTGCTTTGGCTGAAAGGAAGACTCTCCACCCCTGCTTCGTCTGGGAAATCCTCACTGGATTTATCCTGCAACAAAGAAGCCATCGTTTAAAACCAGGCCTCAGTCTGACACAGTTTACCATGCAATCCTGCTGAGTTGTGTCATTGAGACAAGAATGAGGTAGAAAAATACCTAGCCATAAAAACAATCTTGTTGCTTCTTGAGAAAACTGGAAAGCAAAATAAAGGCTCTAAAGTGGTACCCCCAGCTACACCAGTGAGGTTATACCGTCCATGGTGGAGAGATAAAGAACAACGTAATAAGAGCCACATCAAATGCTCAAGTGAATGTGACTGTTAAAAAATAACAGGGAGTATTCAATAATAGTGATCCCCTCCCATTTTTTTCAGGGCTCTTGCTTATCAGGATTCTCTCCTCACTCTTTCACGGACATTTTTGGGCTTCCCCTAGCAAAATTGCTTCTGCAACGTGGGAACACATAATGTCACAGTCCTGGAGTAAGCATGTGGTGAATGAGGCTCTGTTGTGTTCAGATACAGGAGCACTCACCTCTTCAGAGGAGAATCTTGGAGAATCCAAGGAGAATCCAAGGTCCCCCTGCCTCGGCTCTCCAAAGACCGCCTGCTCTGGCTCCTGCTCTGGGGCTCCAAAGACCTCCTGTTCCACGGCCCCAGGGACATCCTGCTTGATTGGGATGGATCTCTCTTCTGGATGCTCTGCAGGAACAGCTTCTAACACTTCCTCGTCATCCCCAGTGTCTGGCTGCATCACCTGGTGTAGATCGAAACCCAAGAGCAGAGCACAACAGAGAACGGTGTTACCACGGCATGCGCTCTGTGCTCAGTGCTATGACTACACTGCTTTTACAACTGCATTTTAGTTTTGCTGTGCAGAAAATCAGTCTAACATGATCCAATCCAGCACAGCAGCAGCAGCAGCAGCAGCTCTGGCAAGGCTGACAACAGCAAAGAACTTCCTTGTCAAATATTTCATCTCATGTGCTCATCACTCAGAAATGGATATTCTCTGTGTGGTTCTGTTGAAGAAATATTCCCATTAAAGATGACCAGGCCACATTGTTTTCATTCTCTCTGTTTGTTTTAACCACTACCAGTCTCTGGGCTTTGTCCACACAGCACATTTAGAGCTAGCTTAGGTACTGCTGCACATCGCTGCATTGTGCTTGCTCCCCAAGTATTCCACTTGTGGTGACCCTTCTGAAGACACCAAGAAAGGCACTTTAATGCATGTTTTTTGGAGACAGCTGGCGCTGTGATTCCCAGAACAATGAAGGAGGGGGAGGTACGTCTTGTAGGTGGCTGGATAATTGAATTCCCCTTTCAAACAATTATTTTACTGCTACAGGAAATGAACTGTATTCTTAATTGCAGAGTTCCCACAGCATTGGATAGGCATATTTTCTGTTATTTAAATCTGCATTTTAAAATCACAATTACATTTCTCTTACAAGCAGATGGACTCTGCGTGTTCACATATTCTGATTTTCAGAAGTGTTTAGTACCTGCAGCTCTCAGTTACTGACACTGTGGATACTCAATATTTCTGAAAATCAGCTCTTCAGAGTGTTTGGGAAGAAGAAACGAGTACAAGGATTCTGAGGTAGTCTGAAACAGCCCTGAGAAAAGGCTATTATAAGTATCTTTCAGCCCAAACCCCAAAGAATGTTTTTAATATTTTGGCAGTGCTATTTGCACCGTGTGATGTTATGAGTTATACTATCTTTAAGTAACCAACAAACTCAGTCCAGATGTATTCAGACTTCCTCCTGTGCTGCACATGGATTGAGGACTGTGCAACGTTTAAGCACCATATTATAACTGGAAGCACTCAGGCTTCTACACTACTGTTTCAAATCTCTTAGGACTCACTAGGGGGGACCAGAGGGGTTTGGGGGAGACGCTGTTTCCCCTAGCGCCCGCTGGCATAACAAGGAGAAATGGGCACAAGCTGTTGGAGAGGAGGTATAGATTGAACATCCGCAAAAACTACTTCACCGTTAGGGCGGCTAGGAGCTGGAACCAACTTCCAAGGGAAGTGGTGCTGGCCCCTACCCTGGGGGTCTTTAAGAAGAGGCTGGATGCCCACCTAGCTGGACTCGTTTGAGTCCCATTTCT